CATCATCAACAACAACATCGTCATAACTCTAAACCCTAAATCCGACCCTAATCGCAGCACGGACTTTTCGGGGGTTCCAAGACTCCAGCCTCGGATTCGTGTGTCTTCATAAACAGAGCTTTTCCCGGGAGGCTTGCAAACCCCAAAACCGAAAACCCTAAACACCCAAAAACCCCAGCCCTGGAAACCCTACAGAACCCTTCTAAAGGCCTTGAAGAGAGTCCCTTAAAGCTTCCTCTTTTGGTCTCCCCGCCTCGAGGACGGAGAGGACGGGCCCGAAGATCTCGTCCTTCATCGCCGGCTCCTCTAGGGGCTCATGGGAAGTTATAAGTAAGCATTTAGGAAATTTAGGGTTTAGGGTTCAGGGTTTAGGGTTTAAGGTTTAGGGTTTAGGGTTGTTCAGGGCTTCAGCTCTGGGTTGCCGGGTATGGGGGACTCCTGTCCAAGGAATTTCCAGTGTCGGAAGTGGGGTTTTGGTGTTTATAGGGTCTTGCGAGGGCTTGACAGTGGGCTTGACAGGAAGGGTTTTCAAGATGGTTTCGGACTTAATTAAAAGGATCAAGTACGCGGGTTGCAAGCTACAAACAACTGTCGCTACAATGTGCTGCCTACATTGCCTACATCCCTACTCACCAAATCCCGTGAGCCTCTATGCAAACATCCACGGCCGCCGAGCTTCTAGGACGCTCCGGTGCTTAAACCTTCCTGGAAGCTTCCATGCCTAAAGGACAGCCCCTGAACCCTTCGGGTGCATGTCTCTACGTGCGCAATGTATTTCTGCATGTGCGCACGCGCCTCCAGAAGCATCTGTCGTGAGTAAACATAGTAAACCTGTGGCATCATCCAAAACCCTCAACCCTAAACTGACCCTTCAAGACAGAACCACCCCAACCTGCGCCGACTGGTGAAGCAGCACGCTGGGGCCGAACCAGAAACCGCGCGTGTTCACCTGGCCCGAACATCTGTCGCTGCACTCTCAGTCTGCTTTGAGCTCCATGCCAAAACCTCGACGAATGATCTAGCCTGCCAGCGACGCCCGTCCAGCAAGATCTTGGCACCGTGCCTCGGCCCAAACAGGGCTTCATACAAGGGTTTTACGGCCTTTCATAAGGGGTTCAATCACGGTTGTACAAGAGTCGAGGCTCCGAAGGGCTTTTTCAGAGAGCATCTACGGTTTTTTCACCAAGGAATCTTCTTCACCACCAACTGAAAATTTGAGGAAGTCTCCGAAATCAAAAATGCTGCGCTCTCTACAGCTTTCCCCAGCCCCTATACCCCAAACTCTGAACCCTGTGGCAACCCTTCCAACACCCTGTAAAAACCCTTGCAAAACCCTGAACAGCCTTAGACCTTATAGAAAGCCGTCAGACAACCTGCAGAAAACCCAGAGAACCCTTATCAAAACCCCCACAGAAACCCTCCGGAATCCTTTAAGGGGGCCCTGGTTTAAAGGCCTGAGCCCGGCGGCCCTTCGCAGGCTGCCAGGTACCCGCTGAGACGCGCCATGGCCGCTGTGTCAATGACCTGAGGAGGCATCGGAGAATCAGAACAGAGTTTTACACGGATGTTACAAGGGGTTCTAGGGCAGGGCGTGTTATAAGGGGTTTGATACGGGCTTTAATGGGTTCTGCACCGTTTGTGTACGGGATTGATAGGGTTCCGCCAGAGTTTCTACGAAGGCTTTTGTGAGGGGGTTCAATCTGTAGGGTTCACGGGTTTTGGCAAAGGCTTCAGGATTCACTTAGGGCTCTCTTTCTATGGGTTTGCGGGCTTTGGGCTTAGGAGCTTCGAAAGGATATTTCCTTTACCCCTTGCCAGGTTCAGGTTTCTGGGAGCGTGGCTATGCAGGGCCTTTTTCAAGGCTGGCTACCGTTTTAGGGTTAGGGCTTGAAAGCTTGAAGAGGAAATACTAGGGTCCTGTCAGGTTTTGTAGGTGTCGTAAGGTTGATGATTTTGGTGCTGGGCTTAGGGCCGTGAAAACGGTTGCGAGTTTAGGGTTCACTGTTGATGATTCAGGGTTAAAGGTAGTGGCAACTAGAATGCGGACGAAAACAAGATGTATAATTCATCCGCAGTTTCACTATGTTAATGTTTATATCTCAGCTTTCAGTCTGATGGTGTTGTATCCCCCATCAGGCCCTTCTAAGACCCTTATGAAACCACAGCGTTTGAGTGTGCCTCATCTTTGTTTTTGTTGAACCAAACTCTTTCGCCCAGCGACAGGGCCGATCTCCCCGGGCTTCTGGCCACCCTGCGCCGCAGAGTCCAGGATGGCAAAAGAAAGAAAGGGCTGATAAGGTACAGGGGCTTAGGGTTTTGGGGTGGTTTAGGGGGCTTTGGGTTTAGGGCTTCACGTGGTTTAGAGGTGTTGAAATGAGGAGTTTTAGGGGTTTGGGGTTTATCCGTGATGGTAGCAGACCACATGCAAAAGCAGCGGTAGGTCCAGCAGGACAGTACGAGTACGGTTTAACCTCCGAGCTTCTTAAGAACTTCGGGATTTCCACGTGGAGTCGCTGCCTTGAGGGACTTGGCCTTGGCCACAAGCTTGTCCAGGAAGTCTTTCCGTCCTGCCAGAATCTCCAAGCCCTCAACCCTGGACCCTAAACGTGAATGCCTAAACCCAAACACCGACAACCCTACAACCCTCAAAGCCAGAACCCTCACTCCTAGACCCAGAGGCCCTCAAGCCTTAAACTCAAGATCTTAGCACGAAGCAAAAATTCTCGAAAGCAGCAAGCTACCTTAAGTCGAACCCTGAAAATGCCCCCCCTCTCATCGCAAATGGAGACCCTGCAAAGATGTCGGAAAGGGATGTGGGGCCCCAAACCCTAAGCCCCAAACCCTTAAGCCCAGACCAAACAATGCACCTTATGAAGTGCCTGCCTCTTTGATTTTAGGGAAAGGGGGGGCGGCACGGCGGGGGCTCTAAGCGCCTTTGCCCACGACCAGAAGCACCGAGGCCGCCATGCAGCGCTGCCCCGCCGAGCCGAAGGCCGAGTTCATGATGTCCGAGATGGTCATGTCCTTTTGACAGGTACTGTTTAGGGTTCCCCAGACCCTTAAAGGGGATACTATAAAGGGCTTCTGTAAAAGTGGATCTAGGGTTTTGAGATTTTTGACATGTCCGGGATGGCCATGTCTTGCTCTCTTTAGAAGGGGGGACGACATCAGGGCTACCATAAGGGAGTATGAGGGCTGCGATCACGTCCTTTTTAAAAGGGGCCTCCACAATTAAAACGGGTGTTGCAGGGGGTGTTTTTCGAGCATGATAGAAAAGCGAATACACAGTGACAGTTACTTATGATTTACACAGAAATCTGCCGGAGGAACTGTACTATTCAGGCTTCTACATTAACCCCCTTGACGGGGCTCCTCATCACAGTCTGGCATGGCAATGAGATGGTTCTTCGCGCCACC